TTTATAAGACTAGGTTAGTATTATTACATCCTTTTTATGTCTATTAAATTCAATATCTTTGAAATTTATTGTATTATTTAACCCATTAATAATATTTATAAGACTAGGTTAGTATTACTACATCCTTTTTATGTCTATTAAATACAATATCTTTGAAATTTATTGTATTATTTAACCCATTAATAATATTTATATCACTTTTTTCTACATGTGGCATGTTACTTCACAAAAAGATACCAATAATAAAATCACTACAAATGATAAAGTTCTTCTTCCGAATATTTACTAATATATTCAATATTCAAATTCAAAATCATTAGTTGAATTGTAAGCTTCAGTTCATCGATATGTATATTTGATGATAGTATTTACTACTTAGATAACATTTGAAACAATATTAAAATTTTAAGCCTCCATATTTTGAAAAGAATTTTACAAAATAATTCAAACTTTTTTTGAGTTAAATTAGATTACAATTTAATACTTTCAAACAAAAGAAACATGAAAAAGCTAAATCACTTCACTCCTACAACAAGAACGATCTAGTAAGAAAGAATGAGTTATCCTCTCTCATCAATGAAGTTATATATTACAATTTAATATTTTCAAATATGAGAAAGATGGAAAAATTAAATTAGGACTCTTAATCCTATTTGGATGGCAGATACATGTTTACTTGAATAAAGCCTTCATCAATCCAAATCTAACGTGGAGATTCTTTATATATATATATATATATATGAGAAGGGTTCAAACGACACCGGTGTAACTTTTACTAAGTGTTCCACTGCTCAATAACTTTATATTAAATGTGAATTTTGTAAATCCAACCGTTAGATGGAAAGTTCATATATCTTATATCATATATGTCAAATTTTGTTAAAATTGAACAACAACTTGAAGGTAATCAAAGTGTTCATATTTTAGTATATTTTGAAATGTATATATTACGTCAATTTTGTTTTATGAGAATGAAGTATCAAATCATCTTAGATTAATGTAAAATTTGATATATATGATCTAAGAGATATAAACTTTCAATCTAACGGTTGGATTTACAAAATTCGCTTTTAATATAAAGTTATTGAGCGGTGTCATTTGAACCCTCCTCTCTCTCTCTCTATATATATATAAGGGATCTATTTATTCTAGGAGTAAGTCTACCTAGACTTATTTCGTTCAATAATTCATGTTGTACATCAAATTTTAACTATTCAATCGTTAAATTTAAAATTTTTAATGTATAGATCAAATCTGTAAATTTTTTTAAAATTTAAAAATCATTTAATGCATAGACAAAGTTTCAATATATTTTTTATCTTTTAAAAAATCATTACCTCCAACTGACATTTTAAATTTTCAATTCATATAAAAGTGTGCCTGTTCATTTCTATTCT